ATTAATAGTAATAGTAGTGCAGACTTTGTAAATAGTTGGACAGCGTTGAGGGAATTATTTGTTTAGCAGAGTGATGGCATTTGGGGAAAAACTCCCCTTGTGTCTAGTTGTTGTGGTGTGCAGGGCTCTATAGCGTCGTTTTGAGGGGAGGAGTTGAAACAGTTTATGTCCAGGATGTGAGGGGTCTGTAGATATTTTCACAGCCCTCTTTTTGACTCGTGTAGTATACAGGTCCTAGGGTAGGGTGGCATTCATGCTTCGGTTGTGGTAGAGCTGTGAAGGTCAGCAAGAAGATAATTGACTGCCATGGGCCACTCGCTTGCTTAAAACTCATCCTCTCTTTGCTTAAACATGGCTTTCCTTCCTGGGAAGTTGGTTCATCTAGGACAGGGGTGTCAAACCTGCTCCCCCTTCGGGGATCCATTTTCACTGGCAAGGGGCTAGCAAAACAAACTAAAAACAAAACAGAAGGAGAAATGTTTCCCCATTTGCATTTGAGCATCCAAGCAGGGACAGGAAAGGAGGAAGGGAAAGAGGGAAGACAAAAGAAAAAGAAGGAAAAGTGGGAAGAGAGCAAGGGAGGAAAAATAAGGAAAGACGGGGAAGGAAGAAGAAAGGAGAATGTAGAGGGAAAGAAAAAGAAGAAATAGGAAGGAAGGGAGGGAGGGAGGGAGGGAGGGAGGGAGGAAGGAAGGAAGGAAGGAAGGAAGGAAGGAAGGAAGGAAGGAAGGAAGGAAGGAGTTGATAATGAGTGAGTGAGGTCTCCAGGAAGTCCTGCCTTAGCACTTGGCCATCACAGGTGCCCCTGACACAAGTGATGTCAAGCTGGCCATGCCCACTATGGCCATGCCATGCCAGCTGTACCCCCGCCAGTCATCCGAGGTCAAACACAACTCTGATGTGGCCTTCAATGAAATCGAATTTGGCACCCCTGATCTAGGAGAAAGTGTGAAATAGGTGAAATGAAAAAAAAACAACAGCTGCAATGGGTTAAAAATACTTAGAACTTAAACTAACTTTATTGTCACTTTGAATGTACACTAATCGGCATACATTAAAATTAATACCCAAATAAACTGAACAAATACCCAAATAAACTCAACAAATACTCAAATAAACTGAACAAATACTCAAATAAACTCAACAAATACCCAAATAAAGAGATATACCCAAATAAACTCAAGAAATGCCCAAATAAACTCAATATATA